TACAAGAGTGCACCAACACCCCCCCTCTGCTCCGTCCATCCTCCCTCCACTTGTCTCACTTTTCTATTGTGCGCGGCGTGATGTGTGTGAAATCGTGGCATGCCTGTTGGCTGTTAGGCGATGTAGGCTGGAGCCTGCAGACTGTGACTCATTGGAAAGGAGGGGCTTTTGGAGGAGCATTGGACACTGAGGTCTGCGTGGGAAGGAGTGGATGACTGAAGTGAGCGTGTGCGGTTTGTCAGCTTTCTATTTTCCTCCACCAGCATCCTCAGTTCTGTAGTAGAAGCGTGCAGAAGGGAGGACGACGTGATGGAGCGGATGGAGTCGATGGAGCCGATCTCGGCGCACTACACCACGGCTTACCCGGAGATTCAGCCCGACTACGGATCCACGGAGACCACCGAGAGCCAAGCGAAGACCTCCTCACCTCCGATATATGACGAGGAGTTGGTGCATAAGGTAAGACTGTTTAGGGTACAAAGACACCCAGGAAGTGTCCCACAAAGCAGCTTGTATTTTTTGTTGTTGTTTGTTTTTACTACTTTATGCTTAGTTTTATTTTTGCCTTTTTATTTATTTTTTTGATTCTTTATGACTTTTTAGAAGAAGATAAATGGGATGTTGAGGCAGATGGTGAGAAGGAACATTATCTGCCTCCTCCTATTCCTTCCTTTACATATAAGGGTGTGATGAAAAACAATATGTATATTGGAAAAGCTATGTTCTAGTATATGCACATACATACACACAAACTCATTTATACACTTACAAATACAAATTCTCTTTGGTCCAGACCTTAAGAATCATTATCTTTGCGATTATGAATTGATACAAAAAAAAAGAATGACTGTTTCTGGGTCAGGGTGGAGGTCATGGCCATAAACATCTGAGTAGTAATTGCTGAGTCTGGGAAAGAACATGTGAGCCAAAGTTCAGTGTGTGCACCTGATGCAGAGGGGGATGAATGAATGTAATTTAATACGACAGTAATGGAGCCTATGTATGACCTTATACTGAATTAATTGATGCCTTGAGTTGATTGAGTTTATGCTGCGAAGGCATTTAGCCCAAGCATCTTCTGATGTGGGCTGCAAGGCGGAGCAGTGGTTAGCATCGTTGCCTCGCAGCAAGAAGGTCGCCGGTTCGCGTCCCAGTGAGGACACCTGGGATCTTTCTATTTACATGTTCTCCCCGTGCTGCATGGGTTCTCTCTGGGTTCTCCGTCTTCCTCCCACAAGGTCCAAAAACATGTTGAGGTTAGTTGGTGATTCTAAATTTTCCGTAGGTGTGAGTGTGCTTGATTGTCTGTCTCTGCGATAGACTGGCTACCTGTCCAGGGTGTCCCCTGCCTTCACCCCCCGTGAACCTAGTGAGGATTAAGCGGTGTATAGATAATGGATGGATGGATCTTCTGATGTTTCTGCCAGTGGCGGGCGGCGCATTTTACTCCTAGGCCTTCAGTGGCGTCCTACCTGAATCAAACCACCTCTTAACACTGTCATTATGACGCCAAGCTATAGAAACCATCAGTATTATACAGAAAGGCAGTCTAACAGGAAGTTGCATCGCAGACAGGTATCTCATGTAGCGAGAATGAATGCCATCACTAAAGCAAGAAACCCAGTTAAAACAATTCAACACGTCTCCTTTCACTGCAGCCACAGCTGCACCACATACATCACATCTAACAGGAGCGTTAATATTAACTGGATATAATTCATTTTACTCACCAAAACCTGTGATTATTTGAATACAAAATCCACCCTCTTTTCTTTCCTCACGAAGAGTGTGTGTTTGTGTCGGTTTGTTTAAAGAGGAGGGTTAGGATATGGTTATTTGCATCGCCCTTTACTTGGAGTAAAATATGGTCCTTCAAGAAAGTGCCAGCTTTCACTGCATGGTTGCCGTAAGGGTAAAGTATCCAGAGGAGTGAATTTGAAAATGTCAAAGGAGATAAAGGAAACGTGGGATGTTTTGGTTCCCATAGGCTCAGCTAAGCATGATCACTCAATGTAAATATGGTACTTATGCATGCTTTGGTTTCTTGATGATTTTGCCCCATGTAAGGGAATCTAAGACAGTTTTGGATTCTGGATTCCATGCAGTGGATTCTGGATTCCAGGTACTGTATTCTAGTCTTTGTCAGTGGAACTTGGGTTCTGGATTTCAATCATTAGTGGGATTCCGGATTCCTTGAGCTGTATTCCACATTCCAAAGTCCAAGATTCCAGATTCCACAAGCAAAAAGTTGTGGAATGGAATGGAATATCGAATCAAACTGTCAAATTCCAAACATGTATGTGTATGCGCCTGCCAGGAAGTAATTTCCAGAGATTATTTTACAGCCAAACGCTTTTCTCCTTTTTAGGCGTATTAGTCAACCAACATTGAGTCGCAAGCTAATCAATTTATATTTAGTAGAGCAAAGTCTTTTTGAAAAAGTTTTCTGTATTAAGATGCGATGTCAGCTGTGCAAGTTTCAAGCAAATGTATTATTTCTTTTTTGGATGCACAAAAGTACATTTTACTATATTATTATTTATATTCTGACTGGCGACCTGTCCAGGGTGTCTCCTGCCTTCGCCCTAAGTCGGCTGGGATAGGCTCCAGCCCCCCGCGACCCTAGTGAGGATTAAGGTGTATAGATAATGGATGGCTATTCTAACTAGGGGTGGGACTTTAATGTGTCAACACATTAATTACGATTAATTAATTACAACAGGACAACTATCCAGGACTGCTCGCGCTAACAGCTCCGGCGGTTTCTGTGCTTGCTACAACATGCTTTGCATTCAGGTTGTACCGTTAGCTTGATGTGCTTCGGTGGGATGCAAATTCTTTTTTGCACAAGTTGCACAAAACCACGCTCTTGTCAAGGCTTCCATCAGGCAGTTTTTTTTTTAACTAAACTTGCCCTCCATCAGTCCAAGCAATGCACTCTCATCCGATTCCTCCATGTTTGTTGTTGTTAGCGTAGCGCTGATGCATCTTGTGCATCAGTTTGATCAGTGGACCATGAAATCGGGCACTGACAAACGTTCTGTGTTGCCTGGATGCAAACGGCGATTAAATACGTAAATTTTTTAACGTGTTATTTTAGTTGTAATTAACTAGTCGTAATTAAGGCTTTAAAGTATATTAGGGGTTGGACTTTAACGCGTTATTTGCACATTAATGTCCGTTTACAGAAAATGTAAGCGTTTTGATAGTGTTCGATAACTCGCGTGTTTGATTTAGTGAAGAGTGAATCCCATCACGTGGTTCACTTATACACTAATAGAGGTCATTATTAAGCCACCGATTCTTATTTTTGTGGCTAAGGACAAACAAAAGCTTTTGAAATGGTTCTATGTCATTAAAGTTTATGGTGTGCAACTATTTTGTGGCATTTCCTGTCTGTTGTTGTGCCATAATTACAGAATCAGTGTGTCATAATGAAAAACAATTGACGCCGGTAACCTGTGGTGGAAGACATATTTGCAGTCCTCCTTTAGAATAATTCAGTGAGTGCACAAAGATTGTTTTACAGATAATTTTAGTATGAAGTCCCACCTTTTAGACGGTATGCTCTGTTTTTTGAAGTATGCCATGGCATTGGAGATATTTGGCCTAAACTTTGGGTATTTTAACAGCTTGGGTGAGAGGGGCGGTCTTGGCTGACATGATTTGTGTGATAGGAACTAGTCATAGAAGAATGAAACATTGACAATAGATTGTCATTGGGTAGGATAACATTCACTGAAAATATGAAAGAATTTGGTTGAATTCTTATAACAGTAGAGCTTCATACTTTTGACCAATTTTTTGGTGATTTTTTTGGTCATTTTTGTAAAACAAAAAAAACAAGGGGGTGACCAACTCCCCCGGTTTTGACCAAATTTCCTTAAACTTAGACTGAAGTAGTTCTGGGTGAACCCCTTCAAATTGGCCAAGTTCATTGACATAGGTGAGCTGGTTTGTGCCGCTCTACCTGGTGGATGCACTCTTAAGGCTTTACGTGGCCAATCACGACAGTATATTCTGACCTCCTTCACCCTCCTTCTGACCTCCTTTACCCAAAAGTTATTTGTCCCTCGATCCCAGTACAAAACCCGTGGTGATCGTGCTTTTTAAGCTCTCGCACCAAAACTGTGGGATGCTCTTCCTCTACAGCTGAGATCGGTCGACTCCTGTGAAACTTTTACAAGGTATCTGAAAACGTTTTTAATCAGACAGGCTTTTGGTCGACTTGTAGCTGCTTTATTTTATTTTATTTTTTATTTTATTTTTTTTAATGTAATTTTACATTTTTTAAATTTTATTTTAATTCATTTTCTTTATTGTTTTTGATGCAGTGTATTTCAGCTGTTGCTCCCCCGTTTTAACAATTTATTACCTTTATCATTATTGTTTTTTTGTTTTTATCCTTGTTTTATTGTTGTTGTAAAGCACTTTGGGATTTTGTATCTGTGAAAGGTGCTGTATAAATTAATTTTACTTACTAACTAGTGAATGTATGAAAAACAAAGATGCAGGATTGTTTCGTGACAAAGACACATGGGTTTCAATGATTCCATCAAAGAAATGTAAGAATTATAGGAGTTACTGAAAACTCAAGAGTGCCACGATATACATGGTCTTTACAAGTTTCTATAAGCTTTTGTTCACGTCTAATGGCAGTTTGATATTAGCAACTGCATCACCTGCAAGGTGCATTGGGTACATTATAACAAAAGATCACAACATACACGTAACTTCACAGAAGAACAGAATGTGTAGTCTCTCTCAACAGCATACATTTTTCACATAAATTAAAATTAGATGGGTCAAGATGGCACTTTAAGGGTTTGGTTGCAGCTGCTAAAAGACTGACTGTGTTTTTGTTTTTCTGCAGACGATCCTGGTGGGGGACA